GTTTGAACCATCAGCCTTCTGGTTAGCAGTCAAGTGCTTTAGCCACTATGCTACCAGAGCTCCTTAGCAACTCCCATAGGGTTTCCAAAACTATAAATCTTTACAGAAGTAGATTGCCTCATCTTTCTTCCATAGAGCAGCTGGTGGGTTTGAACCACCAACTTTCTGGTTAGCAGCTAAATACCTTACTGTACCACCAGAGCTCCTATGTCAACAAAAAAACGAAAACCAAACCCACTGCCATCGAGTCTGACTCACAGCTACCCCCCACGTTGGGTTTCTGAGCCGGTAAATCCTTAAATTGCCCCACCTTCCTTCTGCAGAATAGCTAGTATGTTTGAACTGCCAACCTTCTGGTTAGCAGTCAAATGCCTTAGGCACTACACCACCAGAGCTTTATGTCAACAAAAACCAAAAAACTAAACTTACCGCCGATGAGTCAGATCCAACTCATAGCAACCCCTCCTTGGGTTTCCAAGGCAGTGTCACTACAGAAGTAGACTGCCCAACCTTCCTTCTAAGGAGTGACAAAGTAAGGTAAAAATACTATTTTAACAGGTAAAACTAAAGGCCAAAAGCAGTTAAAGTGTTAAACAGGCACAGACTTCTCAACCGAAGGTTTGTGGTGGGTGACAAGTATTCTTAAGGGTCCAGGCTAAGCCAGTCCAATATACATCCAAAGGAGGAAGCACCACAGAATGGTGAGTTAGATGTTTGTTCATGCCTGGCTCTGTTAAGGGCTTCCACTAACACAAACTAAAAAATAAATGATCCTCTATAAAAATTCAGAAAATAAAGTAAGGATACAAGGAATGAAGATGTTAGAAGGCAGAATTATTTTGTAATGACATCTACGAAATGTTCAATAAATATAAAAATCATAATCATAACGTATAATCAGAACACACTATTGAAATGTTTTGGGAGCTCTGGTAGCATAGTGCCTAAGGCATTTCACTGCTAACTAGAAGGCTGGTGGTTCAAACCCACCAGCCATTCCTCAGAAGGAAGGTTGGGCAATCTACTTCTGTAGTGATGCTGCCTCGGAAACCCAAGGAGGGGTCACTATGAGTTGGGTCCGACTCGACAGTACACAACAACAACACTGAAATGTTTAATAGGCAGCAGTGAAAATTCATTTAACTAACAGCAATATAATAACCATTACAGTTTATCAAGCATTTACTAAATATCAAGCATTGTACTAAGCATTTTGATTTTGCAAAAAAGGAGACTAAGGCATGGAGAGATGGCCCAAGTCAGCCAGCCAGGTCTATCTGACTCCCAGGTTTATACTTTTAACACTCTCACCATGCTAACTCCAAACCAGTTGCCACTGAGTTAATTCCAACTCATGGCAACCCCATGTGTTAAGAGTAAGTAGAATTGTACTCCATAGATTTTTCAATGGCAGACTTTACTTGTTTATATTTAACAGATGAAATTTAATAGATGATTGTAGTTCTTGATAATTTTATAGGTGTGATATTTTTAAACTTTTTATTATGATTTGAGTGGAAGTTTACAAAGCAAATTCATTTTTCATTCAACAGCTGATAGACATTTTATTTTGAAACACTGACTGCAATCCCCACAACGTTAACAGCTCTCTTCCCAATCCCTCCCTGTGGTTATCTTTTCCCTGTGTCCTTCTTTCCTATGCATTCTGGTCTTCTGAGCTGTCTCCCTGTGAAAATAATGCTCTTTTGATCTCCCATAGTTGATTGTTCTAAGGAGTCCACCTCCCTGGTACAACTGTTCCCCTCATAGGCCTATTTATTATTTGGTTGAAAGTTAAGCCACAGGAGTGAGTTCAATTCCAGGCCCAAAAGGTGAATAAGGGCCATAGTCTTGGGGTAGCAAATTTTTCAGAAGTAGATCTCCAGGCCTTTTATCTGAGGTGCCTCTAGGTGGAACTCCAACCTTTTGGTTAGCAGCTCCATGTATTAACAATTTTCACCACCCAGGGACTCCAACATGCTGGGTAGATCATCTTATTAAGTGTAATCTTGGATATGTGGCATTGCTTCTACATACGTATCAGCCCCATGCAAAAACAAAAACAGAGATTTGTATGTAAGAAAATCTATATAGGGATGTCAGTGGGTGCAAGAGGACAGATGAGAATAAAAGTACTTGATGTCCCAGAGCTACACTGGAGCCTGCTCTGGGTAGTTCCAGAATGCCCTGTTATACAGAAGTTGTTGGACATTACTTCTGGCTTCTCGGTGTTAGTAGGAAAAGTTGGAAAGAGTTCCAGGCAGCAGTGCTCACCAACATAACGGGTCTTCTGCTGGCCCAAATGAGTATAAAGCTAAGGGTCCTTCAGGAAAGAGCTATTGGGTGAGATCAAATGTGGATGGTCTCCAAGCATGTCTAGTGAACATTCTCTAAGACTCTCCCCCCATGTCTTTGCAGAAAGGGCTCTGGTGCTGCCAATTCAGAATTGGCCATCTCTTCAAAATAAACAAAGTGGCCAAGGCCATAATTTATCAAGATGGTGTGGAAAAGCCAGCAAACCCTAGGCTGCCATCTGTGAAGGTGAGATGAATTATCAAGTGGCACACTAAATGGAATTAATAAATCAAGTCTGCGATTTCACACACAGAATGAATAATGGGCCACTCTGCTAATTAATCCAGCCAAAGGCAGTCCACTTCCAGTTTAATGAGAGCTTTCACTTACCTTGCCAATCTTGACAGTTTTGGAATGTTCGAGGCCCAGAGCCAGCTGCTCCCAGGTCGGAGCCAGAGCTTTGCAGTGACCACACCATGGAGCAAAGAACTTGATAAAGTGGTCGCCTTCCAGGGGGCCCAAGGCAGGGAAGGGGAAAAGAAATGATAATTTACATCAGACCTCACTAGAGATTGAATTCAAGAATTAGATCTTTGTTTCCTTGGTCAGAAGACTGGGCAATCTACTTACATAGTGATACTGCCTGGGAAACCCAAGAAGGGGTCGCTATGAGTTGGATCTGACTTGACTGCAGTGTGAGTTTGGTTTTTTGGTTTTCTTCTTTTTTAGCAAATCTCAGTTCAACATGAACCCTTTAACTGAGAAAAAGTAACTCTCCATAAAATACAGTTGCATCCATAAGTGTTATTAGTGGTTACCAGGGGCAGGTTGTTGTTGTTGTTACGTGCCGTCGAGTCAGACCTGACTCATAGTGACCCCTCCTTGGGTTTCCGAGGCAGCATCACTACAGAAGTAGATTGCCCCATCTTTCTTCTGAGGAGTGGCTGATGGGTTTGAACCGCCAGCCTTCTGGTTAGCAGTCAAGTGCCTTAGGCACTACACTACCAGTTGTTGTTGTTGTTATGTGCCGTTGAGTCGGACCCGACTCATAGCGACCCCTCCATGGGTTGCCGAGGCTATATCACTATGGAAGTAGATTGCCCCATCTTCCTTCCGAGGAGTGGCTGGTGGGTTTGAACCACCAGCCTTCTGGTTAGCAGTCAAGTGCCTTAGGCACTATGCTACCAGAGCTACACTACCAGAGGGAGGGGGAAAACGGGAGTCATTGTTTAGGAAAGAGTGAGTTTATGATGATAGAAAATCAGGCCCTCATTATTGGTGATGGTTGTACAACCTGATTCATGTAATTGGTATCATTGAAGTGTACATGTGACAAAAAAGGTGAATTGGCAAATGTTATATGGTATATATCTTTATAACACTGAAAAAGAAAAGTTTACATCCACGAGTTTCTAATGATACTCGGGGCAAAACAAAATTTGTCATTTTTGAAAGGCAACGGAGAACCAAATGATGATTTTGAAAACTGACAATAAAGGGATAGAATAGGCACTTCTTCTGCTTTCCTTGTATGAACTATGCCACAGTATAACTAAGTGACATATGAGGGCAAGTTTCTCTTGTTAAAAATGAAGAAGGAATTCTTGAGTTAGAACATGAGCATTTGGTAACCCCAAGGAAACACAGAGAGGCCACATGAAGATCACCAAGGAATCAAGGAAGAGAAGTTGAAGGAACAGACAGACAGAGCTTTCCCCTGGAACTGGCACCCTGAATTTGGACTTCTAGCCTCCTAAACTATGAGGAAATTAATTTCTGTTCATTAAAGCCACCCACCTGTGATATTTCTGTTACAGCAGCACTAAGATACTAAGACAGAATTACAGGTTTTGGGCGGTGATTTTCAATGGATGCTAATTTCACAAAGAGACATTATCTGCCACCAACAGGTAGGAAGTCTTGTCCTTGCCTGCAAAATTCAAGCTGGCACTGATTATGCCCCTAGATCCAAGTACTCATTTACAGGAAACAGAGAAATCTTGGAAACATGTTCAATTGCATCATGGGGTTATAATCAGCAAGACCCAGAGTGGAGGAGATCTACAGGTCAAGGCACCTGTTTCCTTAGCAAGTAAAAAATGCAAGAAACAAAAAGAGATGCTGAGAGAACACACAGATTAAAAGAAATTTAAAAGAGATATTTAAAGAAAAAATCAAAAGTAAACTAAACTCTAGTACTTAGGAATGTAGACTTACATGATGAAACTAGAAAGAAAAGCAAGAACAGGGTTTCCATAAAAGTCAAGGGACTGGTTAGTCAAGGAGGTGGGCTGTGATTTGGATGGGGCACGAGGAGGACTTAGGAGATGACTGGTGGAGTTTTATTTCTTGAAAAAAATAACAGCTACAGGGTGTTAAATTTATACCAGTTCACTAAGCAGTACATTTGCTTTCTGTACTGTGTGGTATTTTCCAATAAAATAGAAGGTTAAAAAAAATTAACTATCACCTTCTTGGCTAAGAGGGGGAAAAAACAAAACAAAAAAAAAACCTTCCAAAATCATTATTTGGACATTGGAGATTTTTATCTAGGCTATTCTGCTTTGACTAGCCAAATGCCTAAAGATGTCAGCATGAGAGGGAAATGAAATCAGGTTATGGGCAAGGGATTAAAAAAATCAATAGAAGTTTAAATGTGACTCAGCCTCACAGCAGAAGAACTTTGCTACCTCACCACAGCATCAAAGAGTTTGAGGGCAATGGTGACAAACTTGCTTTAAAAAGTTAACAAGCTGTCTGTAGTGCTGAAACACACCTGTGCAGCCAGGCTATGTCAATAAGCGTGTGCAGTAAGGGGGAAAGCTGGACTAAGCTGCAAGATGGAGACAGGCTCTCCAGGAACCAGACCAGAGAACAAATGGAAGCCACTGTGGTGGGCAGGAAGCACCCTAGCTTTCTAAGGAACATGGTAGCAACAAAGACCCTCCAGATAGCAGCACAATGTCATGTGACCTGCTTAACAAGGGGTGGGTGGAGCTTATGGGGAGATGGTCTATAGAAAGAGGTGGTTCCATCTTGCATGGAGCCTGTTAGGAACTTAATTGTGTCCCTCAAAAATGTGTTCTGTAAATCCTAAAACCTCTATCAGTGGTTAAGAGCTCTGGTGGTGCAGTGGTTAAAGCATATAGGCTGCTAACCAAAAGGTCCATGGTTCACACCCACTAGCTACTCTGCAGGAGAAAGATGAGGCCATCGGCTACTGTAAAGTTATACAGCCTTGAAAACCCTATGGGGCAGTTCTGTTGTGTCTTATAGGGTCACTATGAGTTGGAATCGATTCAATGGCAGTAGATTTGGTTTTTGTTTTTTTACAGTTGTGGTTAGAATCCCATTTGGAAATAGGTTTTCTTTGTTATTAATGAGGCCCTTATAGTGTAGAATATATCTTAAATCAATCTCTTTTGAGATAAAAAAAGAGCAGATTGAGCAAGCAAGCAGAGAAGGGAGAAGGCAGATGCCATGCCACATGACATTGCGAAGGAACTAGGAAAGAGAAGCTAAAAAGAGATGAAGACATCTTCATCAAAGAAAGCCGGCACCCAGAATTCAGACTTCTAGCCTCCTAAGCTGTGAGGCTACTTTAGCTGTTTGTTAAGGTCACCTACTTGTGGTATTTCTGTTACAGAAGCATTAGAAAACTAAGAGTCCAAGCTAGTCTCACCTTAAAGTGATTGCCCCCCACACACATGAGAAACACTGAGGTCCCACGGTCTGAGCTTTGTTACAGATTAAATACTGCCCTTTGATAAAAACAGGGAAAGGTTGACAACATCCCAGTAAATTATTTTTGGCAATGAGTTTAGTGTGGGGAGGGGTTTCCACTGCCAGCAGGCATGAAGTTCCAAGGCCAGAGACAATTTTAAGCCCTTTCTCACAGTTTTCAGCCTCACCATTAGGAGGATTTCTCTCCATGGTAGCATTTGAGAATGGAAGTTAGCAAAAAGTTTGCTTTCCACTCATTCATTGTTGAGTCAACTTTTCTGAAATACATCTGTGTGTGAAGAAGGGAGACTTATCAATTACTCACATTAAAACTGTATATAAACTATGTTTAAAATATGGGATATAGTATGGAAAGATATTTAAAGGGTAAAGAATACCTAATTTGGTTCTTAAGATATTAAAAAAAAAAGAAAATACACTGCCATCAAGTTGATTCCAACTCATAGAGACCCTTTAGCACAGACTAGAACTACCCCATAGGGTTTTCAAGGCTGTAAATCTTTATGGAAGCAGACTGCCTCAGCTTTCTCCCATGGATCAGCTGGTGGGTTTGAACTGCAGACCTTTTGGTTAGCAACTGAATGCTTCAACCACCACACCACCAGAGCTCCTTCATATGGTAAAGGATCCATTAAATTCTGTTTAAGGAAGTAGAAAAGTTTCATTTTCACCAAGGTCAGTAAGTATATGATGGACATTAACATAAATGAACACTTCATTATACAAGGAGGCAATGCCCAACTCGTGTACAGACTCAGAGTACCCAGTCATGATTTGTGAGCTCCAAACTGGAAACCTGGCATTAAAATGGGCCTTTCTATAAGAGCAGGGAACAAAAGGAGAAACAATTTCTAAGAGAGGCATTAAACAATGAAGAGAGAAACCCTTGCTATTACCATCAAAGCATCTATCTACCTATGAGCCCTCAAGTGGCAAGAAGGAAAACCAAGTGAATCAAGGAGGTTCAGGTCAGGGGTTCCGCAAGGTACAGATCTTGCTGTGGGAACCCACAGAAATAAATCACTGGCATACCTTGTGCAATATGCAGCTCAAAGTTGTTTGCTGAGAGCTCATACAGGCCCTGCTTTGACTCAGGGGCTCTAGGAGGTTCAACTTCTGGCTCTGGCGTCTAACGGAAAAAAGCAAAACAGCAGTCACTGAGTTTGTCTGCAAATCAGTAATCAATTGCCACTGAATCAACTCCAACTCATGGCAATCCTATGTGTGCGAGAGTAGAAAAGTGCTCCATAGGGTTTTCAATGGCTGACTTTTCAGAAGTGGATCATCAACCCATTCTTTCAAGGTACCTTTGGGTGGACTAGAACTGCCAACCTTTCTGCTAGGCAGTGCAAACAGCTAGTACGCTTGACTGCTAACTGAAAGGCTGGAAGTTTGCCTCCACCCAGAGGCACCTCAAGAAAAAGGTCTGGCAATCTACTTCTGAAAAATCAGTCACTCAAAACCCCATGGGGCACAATTTTACTCTGATACTCACTGGCTTGCTGTCAGTTGGAATTGTCTTTGGCAGTTGGATTTTTGTCTCTGAAGACATAGTAAACCCCATCAAGGAGGAGACCTCTTATCTGTCTGAAGTCATCTGCAGATACCTACCCTCATCTGACCACCTGGAATATGCATGATATTGACACATGAGAAAATGACTTCATGAAATCCTCTGGATGCTTTAGCAACTAACCCCTGCCAACGTCTTTCTAAGCAAATACTCTAGGACTAAGGCTGTTCTTTGCTACCCCAAAACCCACCAAACCAAGCAAACAAACTGGCCAATTCTCCCCAAACTCATACTCTGCCCCTTACTTTGAAATGTTACTTGGGATTTCATATAGAAAATGAAATAAAATTCCTAAAGAACATACTCTGAAGAGATGAGTGCTTACAGACATAAAGGTAGCAAAAGGGATGAAACAAGAATGAGAAACCAACAGGGGTAGGGTGGCCTGGCTGTCCATTATTCATGCAAATGATAAGACGAACTGTGAGGGAAGGTTAAAAAGCTGATAGAAAAGCAGGTGATGCGAAGGGAAATTAAGGGGACAACATGAAAAATGGCACAACATGAAAAATGTCATCAATGTCCCTAAGCTGTAAATGGGGAAGTTGTTATGTTGAAGAATGTCTTGTTGCATATGTTCTCACCACAATAAAAGTAAAAAATAAATAAAAGGTGCTTCTGCCAATACCTGAGCATTATACAATGTGTGTAACAGCAGTATGGTTACAGTAGTGCTATTGTTGTTAAGGTGCCATTGAGTTGGCCCTGACTCATGGTAATCCTGTGCACAACAGGATCAGACTGACATGATCTATGGGGTTTTCACTGCCTGATTTTTGTAAGTAGATCACTAGGTCTTTCTTCCTAGGTCACCTTAGTTTAAAAGCTCTGCTGAACTGTTTATCATCACAGGATCACATAGGGTGCTCTAGTGGTATAGTGCCTAAGGCATCTGACTGCTAACCAGAAAGCTGGTAGATCACATAAACCTCCACTAACAGATGGGGGTGACCAAACATTAGGTATACTGTCTGGGAATTGGGAGCTCTGATGGTGTAGTGCCTAAGGCACTTGACTGCCAACCAGAAGGCTAGCGTTCAAATCCAGCAGCCACTCCTCAGAAGGAAGACTGGGCAATCTACTTCTATAGGCATACTGCCTTGGATACCCAAGGAGGGGTTACTATGAGTTGGGGAGAACTCAACGGCAGTGAGTTCGGGTTGGGTCTTCTGCACAGAAGATAAGAATTCTACCATTGAAACAACACTGTCCCCACCCTCCCACCCACTGCCACTGAGTTGATTCTGACTCATAGTGACCCTATAGGGCAGAAAAGGATGTAAATCTATAAGGTATCCAAGGGGGTAAATCTTTATGGAAGCAGAATGCCTCATCTTTCTCTCCCAGAGTGGCTGGTGTGTTTGAATCACTGACCTTTTGGTCAGCAGCCCAATGCTTTTAACTACAGCACCATACTAGTACTACACAATTTTAAATGTCTCTTGAGTCTAGCATAGCTTCAACCAAAGAGACCAGAGATGAAGGAAAGATAACTGAATCACCATCTTGTTGCAGGTATACAGCTGTGTATTCCTCAATCTTTACCTGTTGATTCATATTCCTATTGAAAAGAATCCCCAAGTTAAGTCATCAAGACTTCAAAAGTGCTGACAGCTGAAAGCTATGCAGAGTTGTAGTCATAAAGCACCACAAAGTTTTCCTTTCTACTGCTAGCTGGTCAGAACTTTTGAAGTGCTAATTACCCACACAAAAGAATGCCCAAGAGCATAATGGCTAAGGGAATAGTCAGTGAGTTCACATAAGGTGAAATGAGACACTGTGTTTCACTCTTTAAAAGATGTTGAAAGGACTTTCAGTATTAAATTGTTCACTACAGGCCTGCTGGGGTGTTATCACTTCCCCTGTTCCTTGGCAGGTACCAGAATGGTCCCCATCATGGGAACAACACAGTGTACAACAGAGACGGGCACACTCAAACCATGCTGGTGGCAAAACTGCTACGATTCTTAAGAAAACCATCTGGCCATGTTCATTAAGTGTCATACAAATGGTCTTGCTTTGTTTTGCCAAAGACTCCAAGAAGAAAATCATCTACAGGATTAGTAGTCTACACAAACTACCACAGCCTCATCTACTCTGAGACCAGAACTACTCTATTTTTTAACATATAATGCACCCAAACAAATATCAAGTGCACACAGAAAACATGCAGAGCACACAGACAGAAGGTAATGTCCAAGGGGGGGGGGGTGCACGGTTTGTATGAAACCTGTATAACACACGCTTTATTTGTGTAAAAATATAGTAGATGGTGCCCAGCTACCACTACCAACTATCCTGACGAGAGCCACAGTAGATCTTGCTAAAAGGGGAGAAAAACATGAAATGGAACTCAAATTCTTAAAAATTCCACACTTACTGGACTGCTTGAGATTAGAGGTCTCCCTAGTGCTAGACTATTGCCCTGAGATACTCTATAAACCTTAGACCAAAGCTACCTCATCCTGTCATCTTTTAGCTAATTAAAAGATCAGCTCAAAAAATAAAGATTATTACCAGTGAATACTGTGCTCCTTTAAAAAATTATTTATATGAGACTCAATGGTGAACAATTACTCTAAAGCAAAGATGAAAGGGTAAGGGATCAGGAAAACAGATTATTGAAACATCAGGATGGAATTGATAAGAATGTTGAAACTTTATTAAAAAATGTGGGACTGAACAATTTGTGTAGTAATTGTTAAATGGGAACTTAATTTGCTGTGTAAGCTTTCACCAAAAATACAATAATAATAATAAAGGATGTGGAATAAATGGAACCCTCATACATTGTGGTGGTTCCTCAAAAAAAAAAAAAATTTTTTTTTTTTTTTTTTTGCTTAAAATGAAAAGCTGGGTTCAAACTGAAAAGAATTTTCAGCTGGTAATATAAAGTTTGCATATTTGAACTTTTCTACAGTAAGACACATTACCTCAGTTAAAAGAGAAGTCTTATAAAGAAAAGCATCACAAATGGACTCCTAATTTTTACAGGGTGGTACAAATGACTAGTATGCTTGGCTGCTAACCAAAAGACTGGAGGTTCAAGTTCACCCAGAGATGAGTTGGAAAAAAACCCTGTAAGAGCACAGTTCTGCTGTGACACACATGGAGTCACCATGAGTCAGAGTTGACTCAAAGGCAGCTGGTTTTAATTTTAATGGTTTCAGGCAATTATGTGAGATCTCTATTGTCTTGAGACATTAAATACAGCTATGGCAGGCAAGTCAGCTAACTGGGGTCTGGGTGGCAATGGATGGTTCCGCATGCTATTTCTCTGTATTCCAAGCAGAGAGGGCACTTCTCTCAACGACCTATGCTAAGCTGAGACTCTGCAGCTGGTCACTTCCTCTGGTAAGAAGTTCTTCCATGAGAAGAAATTTTTCTGCTACCCTGACACTGGCTTCTTGAACACTGTCAACATGGAACACTAGGTTTTTTTTGGTGAATTAATCCAAAACATATTTTAAAGTTTATTTGAGGCTATTAATTCGTTTTTAAAACTAGTTTCTTCCCATCCAACCCTCCCCTCCTCTCAAAAAATAATGTTTTTACAAAGGAGGCAATTTGAAGTTTAAATATATATGAAAGTTACACCTGCTCCTCCAGTTTTCTTGTTATAATTGTGCAATTGAGAAAGATGCAAATTTACTGAGAGTTTTGTGGTTTTCCCTGTTAACTAAAATTAGCCTCTGGTCAAAACTATTCACCATACAGTAGTTACAAAATTTTTTAAATATAAGGTATAGCAGAAGCACTTAGGAAACAGCTGGTTTTCTGATTAGCTGTGACTTTCACAGAGAAGAGGAGATAGAGCTAAGGAGCCCAATAGGTGCCTGGGAAATGATACCAGTAGGCAGTATGCACAAAAGACCATACACATTGCACCTGACCATAAACATTCAAGGCAACAACTCTTACTCTCAGTTAATTGTTTACATTAAAATTTCATCAAGCACATCTAATATTTCATTAGAAATGTACAGCATAGCTACATAGCCATCTTTCTAATACCACACCAATAAAACACTACCAACTCTCGTCCAACTCAGGTTCTGGGGACCTTTTCACTCTGAACACTAATCCAAAATCACCACAAAGGGATATTTAATTTTATGATGATATCGGCTTATAGCAAAATTTAAGACTCCCTAGTAATTGAGAAGGGAGTGAAATTATAAATTTTTCTTAGTGTACAACTTTCCAAATGCAACATTCCACTATGATGTCTTTAAAAAATATTTCAGAAATCCTAGTTTCCACAGTTACCTGGTATGATAGATTGTACTGTGTCCCCCAGAATACGTGTTGGGATCCTAACCCTTGAGACCTGTGGATGCCATCTCCTTGGGAATAAGGTTTTCTTTTTTATGCTAATAAGGCCTTATCAGTGTAGAGTATAACCTAAACATCATCACTTCTGCGATATAAAGTGCAACACAAACACAAAGACAACCAAACACAAATGGGGGAAGACAGATGCCACTTAAAGATCACCAAGGAACCCAGGCATGCTGGAGCTACAGAAACAGAGACAAGGATCTTCCTCTAGAGCTGACAGAGAGACCTTGCCTAGGGCTAGCACCCTGAATTCAGACTTCTAGCCTCTCTACCTGTGAGAAAGTAAATTTCTGTTCTTTAAAGCCACCCACTTGTGGTATTTCTGTTATAGCAACATAAGAAACTAACACAGCTGGTATTACCCTCACAGAGACAGGGGCATTAAGGCACTAGATTATTCTAAAAAAAAACCACCAAACTCACTGGCATCGAGTCGAGTAGCAAGTTATGTTACCAGCAAAGCCAGGTCAGGCCTTGAGGACTAAGGATAGTAGCCAAGAGTCAATCTCTGATTTTATAAAATTATTGCCAATTATATTGCATGTAATAGTGGCATGATGGTTATGTTAAAAAATAAAAAGTATGTATCCATTGGATGCATACTGAAATATTAACAAATGCTCTGCCGTGAGGGCTGACTTTGCTGCTAAACAAAAAGGGTGGCAGGGCCAAGACAAAACCAGGTTGCCACTGGGTAATAAAGCCAGGTGATGGGTACATGAGGATTCATTATTCTCTTCTCTCTACTGTGGGCATGTGTGAACACTTCCATAATGAATAATTTTTTCAAAGCTAATCTTTACTTATTACAATGAGTTCTAAATAAGTAAAACGTTGCTTTAAAATGGCATCCTTAACTCTTCCCCTGAACTGGCCTTGTCCAGGTCACTATGACCCAAACATCAGAAGGAAAGCACTGTTTCCCATGTACCCACCGCAGGCTCCTCGTTCAGCGTCTGGAGCATCCAGGTCTCCAGAGTCTGAAAGTCCCGTGGACCCTGGTACTTCACAGCTTCTTGGCCAGGCTTGAAAAACTTTAAGCTGAAAGAGAAACAAAGGATTGGACAGAGCAAAATTTTAAAGCACTTCAAACTGCTCTGAGGTGAGAGTATCATCCTATCAGGGAGCAAACTCATTTAATGAAATAATCAGACAACAAGTAATAAATGGGCTGCAGCCAGACATCTATCTGCTACTCTCTGATAAAACTAGAAAAGGAAACAAAAACAATGTTCTGGGAGATTATACATTCGATTAACTCTAAATGATTAAAGTCTCTGATTTTATTCAAGAAAAGTGAAAACTGAAGTCAAACCTAATGCTATGAATTAAACTCCAAACTGCTAATGTTCATTTCTCACTGGCAGAACTTTCAAGTTTATTCCTCACAGGGTATGTGTTATCCTTGCTAAGCTTAAATAGCTTGTTTGGGTTTTTGTGGGTTAATTATTATTATTTTTTTAAGTTAAAAATGTAATAGGTACTATTGTTTTACAATAAATTCTGTTTTAGGCTACTTTATCGGTATCAGATTCAACCTAAACATGAAAAACCAGTTACTGTAAAAACTCAAGTTTCAACAATTTACTTTTTTACAAAGAAGGAATCTTTTCATTTTTCTATATACATTGGCCTCTAGAGACAACTGTAGATAGAAGAGCAGTTCCTTTAGTGGTTAGCAAGGCATTAGGAGAGGAAGAAATATTGCCAGTTCCTGGACTATCCCATCAATAATGGGAAAACATGCTCTACATAAACTTAATAGAGGATGTCAGGGGTGGAAAACAAGGTGGCTACTGATAGTTCAAATAACAAAAAAAAAAAAAAAAAGAGGGAGGGATACAAACTACCATCTCTTGGCAAGCCTACTCATCTGAAACATCCCTCCACAGCATTTATGCTGATTTTGTTAGTAGATGTCAAATGTATAATAAGAGAATTACAAGCAGACAAGATTTGCAGAAACCAGAACTCTGGGTTTTCACAGCTGACAAGTGCTAACTCCTCAAAGGCCTCACAATAATGCCACAGAGATCCGAGAAGTATGTCACCGGACTGGGCATTTAGGCTGAAATAAACAGACCTGGATTTGTGTAGAAATTAAATAGGGTGAAAAGGTAATATCCCTGATGTGCTGCCCAAGAAAGTGATATGCCCAATTGCCTCAGTAGCTTACACTTTGATAATCATAACAAAAAGCCAAACTCTAACTAGATTTGGCGAGTACTTCATAACATTTGGGAGCTCTGGTGGCATAGTGCCTAAGGCATTTGACTGCTAACCAGAAGGCTCACAGTTCAAACCCATCAGCCACTCCATGGCAGTGATACCATCTTGGAAACCCAAGGAAGGGTCACTATGAGTCAGATCCAACTTGACGGTAGTGAGTTTGGTTTGGTTTGGTCATAAAATTTAACACTTTAAGAACCCCATAGTATGCCCTCACCCATTCCAGGGGACCTCCTGGAGCTCTGGGAATCCTGTGACTCCCATAAAACCAAGCCAAACCCTTTGCTATTGAGCCAACTCCAACTCATAATGACCCTACAGAACAGAGGGGAACTGACCCACAGGGTTTTCTAGACTGTAAACTTTAGGGAAACAGATTGCCTCATCTTTTCCTCTGTACAGCTGTTTTGGGGTTCAAACTGTTGACCTTCCAGTTAGCAGCCAACACTTGACCACTGCACCAACAGTGGTAGACCCACATGTGACCACCACCACCCCAGGCTAATAAGGAATGAGAAGGTGCTTACTGGACTTCACCTCCTCTCTCTTTTCCAAGACCCTTCCTTTCACCAAAGGGTTTCAAGATGGAAAGAGACAGGTGATTAAAGTGCTAGAAAGGACCACAGGTAGTAAAATTCCTCATGTCTTTGTTGAATACAATAAAACCTAACCTGTGATTTTTCTAATTTAGTGTGCATTACACAAATTTAAAAAAAAAAAACTCTTCTTGCTGTTGGATTGAAAAATTTTATAGCTTGCCCATGTCCCAGATTTTTCCTTAATACATGCACAGAGCTTCAAAATGGAGGTAGGCTCCACTTGTGCTGGCCAAGGCCGTTCAGCCTGTTGGGGTCATCTGACTTTACTCCTCACTGTAGACAGACATCAAGGGGTAGTGGACAGGGGGCTGCTGGGTCAGAACATAGCCCCAGTCTTCTCTGCTATTACCAAACTATATGGGCACTTTTTTCTCCCATGGTGACAGGTTTCTCTCATCCAAAGGGATGGCATACAAAATAAACACTAACACCAGGAAGGTATACTCAGAACAATCAACCATGGAGATCAGAAGAGCATTTGCCCAGGGAGATAGCTCAGAAGGTAGGAATGCAGGAAAGGAGAATACAGGGAAAGAGTAACCATAGGAAGTGGGGAGAGAGCTATTACATTATGGGGATTACAATCAATGTCATGAAACAAAATGTGGATGAACTATTGTATGGAAAATGAATTTGCTCTGTAAACTTTCACCCAAACCACAATTAAAAAAGGAAAAAAAAAAAAGGAACTGCATGAAAGAAAATCCCCACTTTTACACCTGGAAAACAGTGTGCCGAATGGCTATGTAAGTTCTACTACCATAAATGGCTTCCCTCTTCAGTCCTATTGCCCTTTATGATTTCCCAGTCATAGTAAGTCTTCACTGCCTGCATGGTATAAAGGGGTAAGCACTTAGTTACTGACTGATTAAGTTAGCAGTTCAAATTCACTCAGTGGCACCTCAGAAGAAAAGCCTGGTGATCTGTTTACACACAAAGGTCACAGCCATGAGAACCCCACAGAGCACAGTTGTACTCTGACACATATGGGGTGCTGTGAGTAGGAATCAACCCAAAAGCAACTTTTTTTTTCTTTTTTTTTTTTAATGATTCTTTACTGGCTCAACAGGAAGACCTCAAAACATTTCCCTGAACACAGCCAGCCATCTCTGAGCGCTGTAAGAACCCAAACTCACTCCTTCCCCAATCCCTTTCTCCAGATAGAGGGGTCCAGGGAAGAATGACATAAAAGCTAATATACTGACACAAATCCAAGGCATTTACATACACTGTCTAAGCCAGATCTCAATGTCTATGGGATGCGTGCAGCTTTCAAGGAAGTAAAAGTGCACACAGGCCAATCTGTAAGTGCCCAACTCAATGTTGCACAGCACACGTCACCTCCTGTACTCTTAAAAAAAGTCTGTGCATAGGCACTTCTGCAGGGCTGCAATGGTCACTGAGGTTCACCACAGTGTGAGTTCATTTCAGTTCTTTCCAAAAATGCAAACCAGTGCTTGGTTTACTCTGGGAGACTATATCCCCTAAGTGAAAATCATGACACATAATCCAACATACACCTCTTTTACATTTGTGAATAGTATCTAGGGAGTAACAGATGCTGCAGCCAGGTAATCCTCACAAGCAGGACCAGGTGGAGTCCTTAGTTCCTTGTCTGGAGTCTCAGGACACATGACCTTCTCAGTCCTAGTACATTTCATGTTTCCCCTTCCCACTCGTATCACAGCCATACAGCCACAGATGGTCATCTTGAGAGTGGACACCATGACCAACCAATCTGGGTTGCTCATGTCTTGAAAGTGACGACTCTCGATAGGTAAGTGTTTACCTCATCATCTCGTTCCTACCACTTACCAACTCCTCATTTGAGTGACCTTTGACCCAAGAGGAGTTTATTTTAAGGGCAATCTTATGAAAGAGAGACAGTGAGTGCCTTTAGGCATGTACATATAGTAGGGGACTTCATCTGTACCAACCTGACTTGATACAGACTTGAATTTATGGCACTTAGATTAGCAAAAAGTCACCAAAAACCACAAATTCCAGAGTCCCTGATGGAAATGCAAATTTTAAAGAAAGGATGGGGTAAACTTTAACACTTACTGGGTGTGCTCAGATTGGTGTTTGCACACATATTGTCTCATTTAACCTCTAATAATGTTCTGTGGAGGTATCGCCATCCCTATTTTAGACTCAGAGGTTAAATAATGTGGCCAGAGCTGAACAATGAGTGGACGACAGATTCAAACCATGGCTACAAGGTTTGAGCCCAAGATTTCTTCCACTTTTCCACGCTGCCTCTCAGATTTGAAGATAAGCTCTGGTTTTCTGTTGTTGTTGTTCTTAGGTGCTATTGAGTTGGTTCTGACTCATAGTGACCCTATATACAACAGAACAAAACACTGTCCAGTCCTGTGCCATTCTCAAATTAGTTGCCATGCTCCATTGTCACAGCCACTATGTCAGTCCCTCTTGCTGAGGGTCTTTTCCTGTTTTGTGGACCTCTATTTTACCAAGCATGGTATCTTTCTCTAAGGACTGGTCTCTTCTGACATTACCAAAGTAAAAGAGATAAAGTCTGTCCATCCTTGCTTCTAAGCAGCATTCTAGTTGTATTTCCTCCAAGACAGATTTGTTTGTTCTTTAGCAGTCTAGGGTACATTCAATATTCTTCACCGATATCATAATTCAAATGCATCAATTCTTCAGTGGCCTTCCTTATTCAATGACTAGCTCTCACGTGCACATGAAAAAAACAAAACAAAACAAAAAGTCACTGCCATAAAGTCGATTCTGACTCATAACAACCCCTCCTTGGGTTTCTGAGACAGTATCTCTACAGAGGTAGATTGCCTACTTCCTTCCAAGGAGTGGCTGGTGGGTTTAAACTGCCAGCCTCTGGTTAACAGTCAAATCCCTTAGGAACTATGCCACCACGGCTTGTTTTTATAGTTAATTAAAAAAATAGTTGATGTTGAGTTGATTCTAACCTCATGTCTATCAGAGTGGAACTGTGCTCCATGATTTTTCAGAAGCAGATTGACAGGTTTTCTCCCAAGGTGTCTCTGACTAGACTCAAACCTCTAACCTTTCAGTTAGCAGAGGAACAATAAACCATTTGCACCACCCAAGGGCTCCATACTCAACTAAATGCCCTCTATATTATTCAACTAAGCAATGAATGAAAAAGATTGGTTTCATTCATTAACTGGAACAAATATTTAGGGAGCCGCAGTAGCTAACTTCCCTGCTTTCTTCTGCAAATCGCATCTCCACTTTCTTAGAGAATTGCTCTCCCCTCTGGTACTTGCCATATGGTCTGAATGGGCCTGCCATCTCCCTGTAAGATCCTGTCTCCCTGGCCACAGTGATAATTTCTGGAATGAACATTTCAGTCAAGCTGGACCAATACAGGTGGGCACAGTGCTTCCCTGGGAATAGAATGATACAGGGCCTTGGAGTTGTAAAAGTACCATATGATTAGCACAGTAGACACAGTCCCCCAAACTCCTCAGAGCTTCCCTTGCAGCCTTCTAATTAATCCTCTCTTTAATAAGCCAGTTCCAGGTTCTGGTTTCTTACAACCAAAAACTCTTTTGTTTATAGGTAGTATTGCTTGTCAGAACTGCTATAATCTGGTTTGTCACCTGCCTTTCCAATAGAGTCTGACAATGGAAATGATTAATGCACTCAGCTTCTAAATAAAAGGTTGGAAACTCAAATCCTCCCAGAGGTGCATCAGAAGAAAGGCCTGGTGATTGACTTCTGAAAAATCTATCATTAAATACCCTATGGGTCACCATGAGTTAGAATCAACAACAACTAGTTTAACTGGTTTCCAAAAGAAACAGCTCTTACGCTAGTTACCTGGGGAATTACTCTAGGAAGGATGTTTAAGAATAATGGAGTCACCGAAAATTGAAACAAAAATTGATTTCAAAATCTGTGTTCACTGTGTGAAATCTATATATGAACATAAATTGTGGCAGGACCTCATGGAGACCCCATTTTTATCTTGCAAGCATACTTTCTTATAAACAGGAAAACCAACATAGATGAATTAAAGGCTTTTTTTTTTTTTTCCAAACCAAGTAGAAACAGGCAAGTAAAATAGGCACCATGTTAAATACAGTCTTTCCCTAACAACATGGACTGCTTTAAAAAGCAAACATGGCATTTTGAGGACTAAGGTGCACCTGACTCAAGCCATGGTATTTTCAACTGCCTCATATGCAGGTGAAAGTTGGACAATGCATATGGAAGACCAAAGAAGAATGGACCCATGTGAATTATGGTGTTGACAAAGAATACTGAATATACCATGGACTGCCAAAAGAATAAGGGATCCAATGATACAGCAGTTAAAGCATTAAGCTGCTAACCGAAAGGGTGGCAGTTTGAACCCATCAGTCACTCCACAGAAAAAAAATGAGGCAAACTGCTTCCACAAAGATTTACAGTCTTAGAAATCCTATGGGGCAGTGCTACTTGGTCCTTTAGGGTCCCTAGGAGTCAGAATCAACTCTATGGCAGTGGGTTTGGTTTTGCATTGGCCAAAAGATAAAACAAACCTGTCTTAGAAGAAGTACAGCCAGAATGTTCCTTAGAAGTGAGGATGGCAATACTTCATCTCCTGTATTTTAGACATGTTATCAAGAGGGATCAGTTCCTAGAGAAAGATATCATCCTTGGTAAAGTAAAGAGTCAGCAAAAAAAAAAAAAAAAAAGAGAAAACCCTCAATGAGATGGATTGACACAGTGGCTGCAACAATGGGCTCACACATAGCAACAATGGTGAGGATGGTAGAGGACCAGGCAGTGTTTTGTTCTATTCTACACAGGGTCACTATGAGTCAGAACTGACTCAATGGCACCTAACAACAACAACATCTCCTCAGAACTACAAAGGAAGTTGCCAAAGTTTAACTTGGACATTTGTTGGCCCAATGTAGCTGGCAAAGTGATATGAAAAAATGTGAACTGTGTAGGAAGCGAGCAACTTTTCCACTCACGTGGGGTATCCTCGGACCCCCTGGGCAGAGCACACATCAGAGTCAGCTGTACAGTCCACTTTTGCCACGTAGACCTTGGCATCTTCCATGCTATTGTATTTGTCCCCCAGGTCATTCCACGTTGGCTGCAGCCGCTGGCAGTGCCCACACCTGTAAAGAGAATCACAAGCATACTGAGTACCCATTTGCTTCATCCTTTATAGACAGCAATGAGGCTCTCCTACCCTTTTACACTGTAGTCAGAGTGATGCCTCACAACTACTACAGGACCTGCCAGTCCCTATCTAAACCCTCCAGAGTCCCTGCATTGTTCTCAGCATCCAGTTCAAACTTAGTAAGCTCCTGTTCAGGTCCTCCTAGTTCTGCCTCTGCTGACCTCCACACATGAGCTCACCCTTGTCTCTTTGCTGTCCCACCCCACCATGAGCCGTTTTGCAGTGCTTGCCTTTTCCGATCTTGGCTTGCCCCGGGAATCTGTCCGTCTTCTTTCTCAGACACTCCTCCCTGACCTCCACTGGGCTAGTTCCTATTTGCTCTTCAGGCTTAGTTTGGGCATCACTTCTTCAGAAGGTCTTCCCTGAGTCCCCAGGCTAAGCCTGATGCCCACCTTTATCTCTCCTCCTCTGGAGGCTTCCCTCTCCCCTGCTACTGCAGCAGCTTAGTTTCTCTTGCTATAGTTGCTCCTATTATTTCAAGTCTTCTCTACTAAATAACCAAATATGCTCAACTAGAGGCAACCTCAAAAGTAAATCATTTCTGCATTTTTTTTTTCCAATGGAAAGCTAAAAAGAAGGTTCTTGACACCCAAACTTCTAGGGTTAATAGAGTCAAATGTCTACAATATTTATTGTATACATTTAGTTGCACAAAACTATTTAAAAATTATCTATCATTTAAAATAACACATTCATTTACAAGTATTGCTTATTTTACACACTTCCCATCTCAGGAAAGTATCAGCATCTTTTCTGTCACTAGAATTAACTTTTGGAGTCATACAGCCAGTCATCATCCTTAATTGTCTCAGCTGTTGGCAATGCTTGAACCCACACTGGACACTTTACCCAAGCTTCAAGCACACATTCACATAGCATTAGGGTAACACAGTGTTTGAATTATCTGCTAGTGTGTATGCATGGTGTCCACAAGGTAATATTTGAATAGTGCTTTGTAACATGGTCTTTAAAAAGGATTCCTTACCAGGACACTCAACTTTGTAACTTGTGAGTTCTTCTTGAAAATAATTTCAAATTAAACGCTATGTTCAATCACTTTTCCTCCATTCATTTCTGACAGATGATCTCAATGATAAGCACCTAAAGCTAGCCCTGAATAAGTTTTGCATCAAGCTAATACGTCTTACCTAAGCAGTACTTTCCTAACCAAGCCAAGAGAATCCCTGTTTTTATAAGTGAATAAAATACAATGATTTCTTCTTTTCTGGAGGATAGTTTTGAGAGAAAACTCAGCATTATGTTTACGTATAAACGGTTACAAGTTCCCAGAAGGCAAACACTTTACTATTGTACTTCCAATTCCTAGCATATGCTTGGCATATACTGAACTCTTGGTAATTTATTAGTTGAGTGAATGATGAAAAGCACATGAAACTACACCACATGTGGACATAACTTCTGCAGATTCAACAAAGTGAGCTTAGCAAGGAAAAAAGAAAGGTAGTAAGAAAAAAAATCACAAGCTCCATAGGACCGTGCAGTTGAGTGTGCCTTGAGAGATGTGACTCTCTTGGTCTCCATCCAGCATGGTTCTTCTCATGGTGCAAGCATCTTAGCACATCAGGTGTGATACTGCTAGTTAAAGACACAGATGGAGCAACTAGTTCATTTGGTAGTTAACCAAAGAAGTCATGCTCTTATACAATGCTCGAGGAAATCTGGCTGCGCAGACTTCCTGAGTGACTCCACATGAAGTGGTCACTGACAAGGTACCTTCCTAAGGGGATTACCAGGGGCAGTTCTGAATCTGGGTTGTTTTATCTTACCAGATATGCTCTTTTTAAATGTAGCTGTTATCTAATAAATGGGTTCTCTGCATTCTTTAGAGTCAACACAAGACTACATTAAAAGTGAGAATAAGGAATAAGTTCATTGAGCACAAATTCAGAACCACATGGGACCATCACCAAGCTGGGTGTGCCCCTCCCTTTCCCTGTGCAGGTGGCTGTGATGCAGCCACACATGCCATCTAGATGGTATAGCTGTTTTGGAATTCCGTGGCTACAGCATGCAGCTGAGACAGCCAGCTGCATTCAGAAGGCAGTATGTAACCAAGTAATACAGCAAAGCCACATGGTCCTCCCAAAGAGGCAGCCCAACCTTGACCTCATTGGCACTAGATTCAATGTGACCAGCAAATTGGCCACAGAGAAGCTGTGCCCTGATATTGGCACAAAAATGTACATCACTAGGGACAACCCTCACATCTGCCAAGTTCAGATCAAAGACAAAGCTCAATCTGTTCATTGCATTGTACTTCTGCCCCCAAATCACATATGGGTTTCCAATAGTCCACAGCAGCTGAAACAGAAAAGAAGAGCCCGTGGTGGGGCAGGCAGCTGGCAGTGTACTCTGTCTGAGCTCTAATCTGCTCTCAAGGTCTAACTTTTAAATGCCATCAGAGAAACACATGTCTCTATTCAAATATTTGCAGTAGACTTTTAAAAGACAAACACAAAACTTAAAAGTTAATTTTCTGGGGAGCATCCGCCTAAGCCTCTCAAAGGTACAAACAATGAAAAAGAAATTTATTTAATATCAATGTCCACACTTGCCAGTGCTCAACCCTCACTCAGCCCAGGACTACCTGACAATTACTGCAGAGACTCCAAAGTTAAAACTCCATTAGATAACATGGACTTAGCTATGCCAATTTTTCTTCAAAAATAAAATAAACAAAACCCACTGACAGATTTAGTCCACTGAAATAGACTCCAATTAAGTAAGTTGATTTAATTGGAATAGTTACTCTGAAAATACTCCTGCTCAGAGTAACTATTTATATTGACTATTAGGGAGCTCTGGTAGCATAGTGCCTTGACGACTGCTAACCAGAAGGCTGGCGGTTCAAACCCACCAGCCAGCCACTCCTCAGAAGGAAGATGAGGCAATCTACTTCCGTAGTGATCCTGCCTCGGAAACCCAAGGAGGGGTCGCTATGAGTCGGGTCCGGCTCAACGGCACATAACAACAACATTATTAGAAGCCCTGGTGGCACAGTGATTAAGTGCTCAACTGCAAACCAAAAGGTTGGCTGTTCAAATCCACCAGCCACTTTGCAGCACAAAGATGTGGCAGTTTGCTTCCCTAAAGATTGTTGTTGTTGTTGTTGTTGTTATGTGCCCTCGAGTCGGCCCCGACTCATAGCGACCCCTCCTTGGGTCGCCTTGGGTTTCCGAGGCAGTATCACTATGGAAGTAGGATTGCCCAACCTTCCTTCCGAGATTAAAAAAAAAAAATTGCCATTGTGTGATTCCAACTGATAGTGACCCTATCTGGCACAATAGAGCCGTCCCATAGGGGTTTCCAAGACTCTACATCTTTACAGAAACAGACTGCCTCATATTTTTCCCATGAAGCCACTGGTGGGTTCTAGCAGCAAACCTTTTGGTTAGCAGCTGAATACCTTAGCCAGTGTACCACCAGAGCTCCTCCTATAGATTATAGTCTATAAACCCTATGGGCAGTTCTGCTCTGTCCTATAGAGGTAACTATGAATCAGAATTGACTCAAGGCAACCAGTATCAGTTTTATTATTATTATTATTTTATTGCCATAAAGTATCTCCTGTACTATTGGTAGTTCTAGAAATCCACATCAGTTGGTTCTTGGGAACTTGAAACACATTTTTTTCTCTCTAGATACATTGTTAATAAGTGATACCTTGCCAAAAGAAGTTGATTTAACCCCCTACATAGCTGAAGCACAGTAAAAGCCCTGGGAGCAGGCCCTTGTGCTGGATAGGGGATAACAAGTTTCCCTCACTTCCACAGTACTGGGTTAGCACATCCCCTGCCCATCTCAATGAGTCTTTCCCCAGCTCTAGGTAAGAACGCCAAATTTTGCAGAGCATATCCAGGCCAAATCCCTATCTTTTGTCTTGCTCCCTAAAATTGTGCCCCTCTCCCCTCTCTAGCATGTCAGCCCTGGTAACAAAGCACAACCGTGTTTGTGTGAATGACCAAACCCGTTATCTTCTGCCCTGTGCCCTGAAATTATGGCCCTCTTCCCCTCTGGCATCTCAGCCCTGGTAAAAATGCACAGCTAGCCATGTTTCGTGTGAATGACCAGAGCCTTTCAGTAAGCTATTTCCCAGGTTAGCATTTATCAGGTTAGCACCTCAAAGTCTCCATCCGAGAGTGAAGGCAAGGAGGTTATACCCCATTAGTTCAACGCAGTGATTCTCTCCACTGCACACTTTCTAAGTAACCCAGACCAGGGGCCTTGGAAAGCAGATGACAGAGGTCAGCCTTGAGATGAGTGCAGAGGTCCCATCAACTCTGAATCACGGAGGGGTTCCCACAATCCTCACCACCCTCAGCTCCCAGGGATGGCACAGAAATCCTGCTCTCTGGGCCGACCCTGCTCACCTCACAAAATACATAAAGTGGGAAACCATGTTATTTGTGAGTTGCTATTTCTCAATTAAACCGTCACGCAGATGATATGCCCTGAAGGACTGGAATGAAAGCAGTCGTCAACATCTCCACGGCAGACCCTAGCTGGCAGCGGCCAGCAGGAAGTCCCCTCCGGGGAATCGCTGCCCACGTGGGCCTCTTTAGGGGCGCGCGACCCACTGAGTCCCTGCGCCCGGCAAGCCGCTGCATTTGGCCGCGAATTTGGGAGGTAGGTGCAGTCGGGATGACATCTGGGATGACACCTGGGCTCCAAGGAGTACTAAAGGCAGACAACCCCACCGTCGCCTTCCTCACCTTGGGGGTGGGGTGGGGAAGAGTTCGTTAAGGGCGGATTCGTGAAGTGAAAGGGGGAAGCGGGGGAAGGAGATGCCTGCTGTTCCCTACTCCGCTCGGGAACCACCTCTTCCTCCTCCTCCTCCTCCCCGCGCCACGTCAGCCGGACAGTCAGGGACCGGCGCCGCCCACGCCCCCACAGCCGGAGTGCGGGCTGCCACCTTCCTGGGGCCGCGTGGCGGGGGCCGGGCGCGGGCGGGGCCGGTGACGGTGCCCGAGCTCAGGGCGCAGCGGGGCGGGAAGGGTCGTCTGCGTCCGGCCGAGGCCCAGAGTAGGGCTGCGCGGCTGCAAGCGAGGTGCGCTAGGCAGTTAGTTACCAGGGCGCGAAGAACATGACGAAGTGCGCGGCGCTCTGGATCCCGTGTGTGAACATGTCGGCCGAGTACAGGTGCTTGGCGTGCGGGTCCTGCGTCTCCGCGTCGTCGGCCGCAGGTGACCGGTCCGCCGCCGTCCCTGGCTCCTGGGCCCAGGCCCGCGGGCAGAAGCCCCAGCGCCAGCTGCTGCCCAGCAGCAGCAGCATCGCGGCCAGGGAGAGCCGTCGGGGCAGACGAGGGAGGAGGCGTCCGGGGCACGCGGGCATCGCGGCAGGGCTGGACGTGATCTTGCCGCTGCAGCCGGTCCCCTCGCCGGCACCCGCCTGCAGCCACGGCCCCGCCTTCCTCCCCGTCCCGCCTCTCCGAGGCCGCGCCACTTCCTCCGCCCCGCCCCCTCGCCGGGAGCGCGCAGCGCCTACTTCTTGGCAGCTACCTTGTGTCTGCGCGCTCCTGGAGCCTCAGGCCCGGGTGGGAGAAGGAGGGACTTTGCCCTGGCCCTTGCCAGGCCTTCAAAGCTTCCTGGGATGATTCAGGTTAATTTTGCGAGCGCTTGCCACTCCCAAAATCTAGGTTCCTGAACTCTTTCCCCTAGTGACCACGTAGCCGAGAGCAAGGGTAAATATTCGTTAAATGAATGAAAAGGCCAGAGACAGACAGGGAAGCCACAGAGGGCAATGTCAGCCTGGGATAATCTCACCACACACAAAGATCCTGCGACTTCAGACAAAAGGGAGAAAAGAGCTGCTGTCAGCACAATGTAGGAAATTGGTCCGAAGTGGGTGGGGTTGGCACCTGAATGAGTCAGGTTCTTGGCCAGACTCCAACTCTGATTCTGGGCCTGAGCTCAGAGTTGTAATGAAACCTACTTACTAAGTGAAATCTTTACCTGTTACCCCTGTCCTGCCTTAACTTGAAGGTGAAGAGGAAAGAAGGTCAGAGCAGTGTCTTCTACGCATGTGTTTTAAGGCTCTTCTTTGCAGGAATTGCTGGGAGTCTACTCTACCCTAACTCAATCACACACTACTGTTCAGCACAGTTACTGGGCTCCTACTACTTTGCTTTTCTCTGTGTATTAGGGTTAGGAAGATGAATGACCCCTACCCAGGCTGAGCTCACAGCCTTGTGGAAGGTCTGGAAGGCTTCCCCTGGGCTTGGGAATGGCACCTCATTTTTCACACCTTCACGTACACCTTTTGGCATGTGATAATTAAAGATTCAGGCCCTGCCCTTGGGATCTGAAGCTAAATTAGGGAGAATCACTAGGTTGTTTCTTGGGATCATCCTTGAGTATCCTCAATCTAGTAATTGCAGGCAGTTACTCATGCTGGGCAATGGAGGGGAGTGCCTGGTGATTCACCTGTTGTCACGTTTCTCCAAACTTTGGTTTAACTACTTCTGAACCTTTATCTCTGGTTTGCCAAACACTGAACCCATTAATTTCCTTCCAAACCTATTCTCCTACCACTTAAATTTGAAACATGGGTATCATTTCCCACCCCTTCATTTCCTTTTTTCTCCATACTTCCAACCAACCACATTTTCCACTGGCCCTTCCTTTACCTGTCTTGCAACCATCACTTCTTTCCAACATTTTCAATATTCATACACTGGATCAGTAACTTTCTTTTATTCACATGACTGGAAAATTAATTTACCTAAAACCTGGCTTTGACTATGACAGTTTGCTGCTCAAACCCAGACCGCCACCACCACCACCCCCTTTGCCTACAGAGTAAAACACAAATTCGTTAGTCCATCATTCAAGGCCCTCCATGATGTAGTTACATCATGCCTTGGGTCCTTGTGAAACTAGCTTACCACAAGAAGTCCAAGGATCTTCTCCAATAGTTTATTATTGCCAGACTCTCTTCCTATGCTCCCCAACACTTCATACGTCCCAAACCTTTTCACTGTGCCATCAGGAAATTCCAAAAAAAGAGTTAGCACTAACTCTTATAGCATCAATTTCTTCTCTTCTAAATACAAACATAGAATTAGGAGTCCTGTCAAGTGTTAGCTATAGATTCTTTCACACCCCAGAGCCAGGAAGTAAGGCAGGTGCCTTTCTTATTACCTACTGCTCCTTCCCAACTATTCAACCCCTTCCTGCAAAACCCCAAGCACTTGTTAAATTGATGTCATCTAACTTCTTCTAAATCACTCCTCTTCATTCATTGAATACTGAGGTTCCTGGTTCACAGTATTTCTGGCCTCTCTGTCCTTTCTTCACTTCTGATATCTTCAAGCATCCAGGTGGATGGCCCATCTGTCTCTCCCACAATGACTCTCTACAACTTGTCATGAGCGGAAACTGCTCCATCTCCAAATCTGAATTAAAGTTATCCTACTCTGCCACCACCTCTTATACTTATGGTTCACTTGCTCAAGAAACTCACTCAGGCAATGCTTCAACATCATTATCATCACCAAGCTATAGATCTCACCAACTTCCCATCACCACAATTTGACAGAATGCTATCATCTTCATCAACTTTCCTCTTGATGAAATTAGATTCCATAGATTCTCATCCTTACATTTATTGCTTTGCCCACTGTCTTTGCCATCATTAAAATGGCAAAGTCTCAACTCTTATGAGCCTTGTCTCTCTGCTTTCCTTGTGCCTCTGCCTAAAACCTGGCTTTGACTATGTGGCCTAACTATGTTGGAAAAAAAACACACAATCAAGTAAGTGATTGTTTCACTTTAGACTCATAAACATTAAATGAATATTCAACCCTGCCCTGAAATTGACTACATTTTCCTAGATAGTTTGATTTTCCACTCTCTGAAATGGCTCCCATATCTCTACCAATAACCCGTGCTCCAACTCTCTCCCACTCCTCTCAGTCACACCCAGTCATCTCAGTCACTTCTCAGTTGTCAAGTTTGTCTCATACTTCTCTCAGAAAATTGAAGCCCACCTGTTCTAAATCCTAGTTCATTGTGTAGGGTCTGGATCTTAAAAGCTTTTAAGTGGCCGTTCAAGGTATAATTGGTCTCTATTTGCCTGGAAAAACAGAGGAAGCAGGAGTCAGGAATAGGTGGAGGAAATGGAATGTTTGACTAAATGCCTTCATGAATAATTGTCCTTTGCCATGACACCAGCACTGAGTGATGCCTGGCTACTACAACTGAACATTTTGGTAAAATATTCTATTTGTTGTTGTTGTTATGTGCCGTCGAGTCGGCCCCAACTCATAGCGACCCCTCCTTGGGTTTCCGAGACGGTATCACTATGGAAGTAGGATTGCCCAACCTTCCTTCCAAGGAGTGGCTGGTGGGTTTGAACCGCCAGCCTTCTGGTGAGCAGTCAAGTGCTTTAGCCACTATGCTACCAGAGCTCCTAAAATATTCTATAGAGAATTTTAATCAAAAGGAGGGAAATGAAGAACAAAATTTCCAATTGTCATAGAATCCAGGTTTTCTCAACTCTGATGTGCCTTGTCTGGCTGGCTGAACTGCTAGAACTATTGCCTTGAGATAATCTTTAAAACTTAAACCAAAAATGTTCCCTGAAGTCTTCTTAAAACCAAACAGCAGCTTACCTTAAGTAGTGAAGAATGTCTGCCTTGAGCATTGTGTTCTGTGTTCGTCTAAGATCTACCTACATGTGATTAAATTGACAACAACTCAAATGTTTAGCAGTCAAATCCATTAGCCGCTATGCCACCAGAGCTCCCAGAAAAGAACCTAGGGGACAGTAAGTTTATGTTGATTGAGGAGAAACAACTTGAAAAATGTGGGTGAGAATGAGTGCCCAAATGGAAGAATGTAATCAATGTCACTGAATTGTACATATAGAAATCGTTGAATTGGCTTATGTTCTCCTGTATATATTCTCAACAATAAAAATTTTTTCTAAATTATAATAAAACTGGTATTACCTTACTCCTGAAAAAAAATAACACCTCATCTTTTCCCACATCAATTCTACACACAAGGTAACTGGATGGGCACCTTCACCTTCTTCCCTCTGGTTACAAGGGAAGAAGTATCCTGCTTCTACCCAAGGATGGGTCCTTCCAGGTGCTGTAGGTGTGGTAGGCTGAATAATGGCCCCCAGTAAGCTCTAGGAAACTGATGCACCATCCCAGCTCGTCTTCTCAAGGACATTGCTCCTTCAATTATCCTCTCACTGTGTCCTGTATCACTCCTTCTTTATTAGATCATTTACGTCAATGTACAAATACACTTTAGTATGTCTCAACTAAAAAGAAAAAAAAAAGTGTCCCTGACCTCACACCCCCCAGCTACTACCCCATTCCTTAGTTTCCCTTCACAACAAAACTTCTTTCAAGAGTTATCTGCATTTTACTTTCCATTCATTCTTCACTCATGTCACAATACCACCAACACCTCTTTTTTCAGTAAGGAGGATTTGCATATCAGTAAATGTTTGCTCTACTGATCTTACTGGTACAACTGACACTTACTCCATCCTGATCTGCTATCCTGTCAGCTTCTCTGACACCATACTCTCCTGGTTTGGTTCCTGCTTGTCACTATGGATTCCTGGATCCAACCTCTCAATGCTTTCTCAGGGCTTAGCTTTAGGCTTACCTTTTCCTTGGATACTCTCTCCCTGAGTGATCTTAATCAAAACTGTTGTTGTTGTTATGTGCCATCAAATCAGCCATCATAGATAAGGTTATATGTCAACTTGGCTGGTACTGGTTTTAAGTGGCTGGGAAGCTGGATGTAGTAATTCCCCATGATGAGAGTGGTAGTCAGCTCCATGGTGGAATCTGCTGTGAGCAGCTGAGTAACTGCCTTAAGAATGTGGTCTGCTTCCAGTATATAAAACGAAGTTTTGAAAGTTCTCTGCAGCTTTTTGGCATGCTTGGATCCTGCATTTTGCTGACTCTTCGTTCAGCAGCCTGCCATGTTGCCTGCCAATCTTGAGACTATTTCTGGACTTGAACTAGTGGCTTGCCATGTTGCTTGATAATTTTGGGACTGCCATTTTACTTGTCAATCTTGGGTTTGTCAGCCTCAGCAGCCATCAGCTGCTGAGTTAAGAGATGCTTCCAGCACCAGGGGGCCAGCAGCAAGAGGCAGAGCTGAAGCCCAAGGTCAAAGGGCCTTCACTGAGCCCCTAGAGCTGGCACTTTGAACTTGGATTTCTAGCCTTCTAAACTGTAAGAGAATAAATCCCTGTTTGTTAAAGCCATTCACTTGTGATATTTCTGTTACAGCATCACTAGAGAACTAAAAGAGTAACCATGGCTGTAAACTCCATCTATACATTGGTGAGATTCCTGGGTA